AAAAAAACATATATAAATCAGATTTTCAATACATTATAATTTGTTATGTCTTTATACCTGCAGATGAGCTGAATGATGTAATATATGGGGATGTATTGAAAGGTCCTGGACGTCTAATTCTATGTGCATGTAATGGTGTGTGAACAGGACTTTTTTGATTCTGACTATCCTTGCTAGCCTTTTTTTTGAATATTTGAGCTTTCATTGCTTGTGTTTTGATTGTGCATGATAATGCTCCGTTCTGAATTAATGGTATTGTCAGTAGCACGATTACTTTTTATGTCACTGAGACTTGGCATTAGAGAATCATCCAACTCAAATTGTGATTGTGGTGACCCTTCCAAGGGAACAATAGATTGAATAGGGGTAGGAAATATGAACTGATCCTCTTCATCATTGTCATGTTGATGTGTAAAGTCATGTTGACTTTCAAAAACAAGTGGCCTTACAAATGATGGCTGAGGTATAAAAAAAATTATTCAAAAGCAAATTATACTAATAAGAATAAAAGTAATTAGTTTAGATAAGTAGAACAACATACACTTGGGATTATTGATTTAGACGAACTAAAACCAGCATCTACAGTGATCAGATTACGCACAGGTGAATTGTCACAATCAACCTTTAAAAAAATTAAAATGTTAATTCTTAACAATGTTCCCAAATGCACTATATAAATATCTAGACTTAAAAAACATACTTGATTATCAGCAACATCGGATATGTCTCCCTGATTTGAATTTTCAAAAATTGAATGATCCTTTAAAAATAGGAGATTGGATAAAATATCGTTAAACCATGTGAAAATACAAAATTTATAATGAACATACTTGAAAAACTTCCTCGCTGCCATTATTTGAGCTTTCATGGCCCTCCGACTTCTCATCATCAAAACAGACCATTCATTCCATGCAGATACAAAAGAAGTCAACATAAATACAAAAAAAAATTATATTGAAATACAATATTAATGACATGTAAAAATACAAATGTATCTTAAACAAAAATGTAGTAAGAAAAACAGAATACTAAAATAGTAATCTTTATTTTAAAAATAAGATTCAGAATACCTGATTTTGATTTTCTGAATCAACTGATTTTGTAAAATGTTGTCGTCCTTGAGCAGCATTGTGATTGTTTGTGTTGTCCTGAAAATATATTTGATATAAAAACAATCAACATACATTTAAAAACTATGGATAAAGAAATAAAGTACTTACAAATATAGGAAAAAATTAATATTAGACATATATATTATAGTATACAGAATACTGAATACAGAATACAAACAAAATAAATAATTATTTTCAAAATGAGTTGTGTGTACCTGGTTTTGATTTTCAGATAAAATTGGACTTGTAAAAGGTTGTGATCCTTGACCAGCATTGTCATTGTTTTTTTGGTCCTGTAAATATTGAATTACAACATAGAATTAAAAAAAAAACAAAAAGAATAAAAAAAAATTAAACATACAAATTTAGCATATTGTATAACCTTCAAAATAGACATAATGATATTAAAATTATCATTTATCAACTTCCGTATGTCTTTAAACTCCTCTCTAACCTGAAACATTTACAATATGATTAAATTTTACAGATTGCAATTATTTGAATAAATATATTGAAATAACATATGTATAAACAGTATATACCTCCTTTCGTAACTCAGATAGTTCGTTCCTCATTAATTGTTCATGAGACACACTTATAGATGGTATTTGGGAATCCTTTGTTGGCACACAAGTGGGAGTGGTTTTCTTCTTAAAACACAATTTTTTTTCTTCCGCACAACTTTTCTAATTCCAACTTTCTCCACATTCTGGTTCGCTACTGGATCGATCTTTTCAGTCTGTTCCATTTGATCTGTCATATTTGAATCATTTTTCCGTACCGTTTTAGCAGGAGATACTGATTGCCCCTTTTTTCTTTTACCTGTAACCTTCATTGAAGGTGGAGGTGGGTCGACAAAATCATCATCTGAATTCTGTCCAGAAAGTACTTGTTCATCAATATCACGATGTGGCTCTGTTTGAACACCTTCAGTTGATTTGTGAAGACCTTCAGGAGGCAATTGTAGAACAGCGATTTCCATTAGAGAAGGGACAACATTCTTCCATTTAATCTGAAACCGATAGTAAACATAATAATTAACATAATAAAATATATACATCGAATTAATACAATAACAAAGATACAAATTTAATAATTACATACAATACCTCTCTATTACCATCATTGAATGTGTTTTTCATCAAGGTTTTGAATCGGGGTTGTGCTCCTACTGTTTGCCAGTTTAGAATACGGGGGATACGATCACTGATTTTCCGTGCAAAATTGGTCTGACGCTTACCCATGCACTCGTATATCCATATTTGAAGGACAACAGGCATACCACATATTCTATAATATTGACCATCAGTAGTCAAAACCTTGTTGATACTCTGTAGCAACCACTCAAATGCTTTTATGCCTCAAGGATAATGCATATACCGACCACTTTCAACCAAATCAAAATGAATTCTAGGAATTCGCAATGATCTCTTCTCGCCAGAATACACAAACATATGAATGAAATATAATATTGCAAACTTAATGGCATCATCATCATTGTCAACCCAAACTTTATCATTGAACCTATCGAACAAATCAGATCTACGTATGGTCTCATCACCACAAAAGTACTGAACAATAAGTCGGTTAGGTTCTTCTGTGTTAAACTTGAAATCCTCTACAACACCAACACAGTTTAATCCAGTAATAAGAGCAAACGTCCTAATTGTGAACTTTAAAATAACTCCATTTACTTTGATTAAAAGAGCCTGCTTACTACTACCTTCCACTTCTCGTGACATACAGCACCTGTGAATTTGACCTTGCCCAACACATTTTCTAATTTTCATATACTGACCAAAACACGTACTCTCACAAAATAAATTATATTGCTCCGGTGTAAGCTTGTCAGTCAACTTGGATTTAATGTCATGACTTACTATACAGTGAATGTGGGGTGCCTTTTTTGGTAGCTTTTTGCAAGCATAAGAAGTCCCCTGGCATATTGAATTCCAAAAAATGAAATAATACTAAAATAACAGAACAAAAAAACATGATAATAAATAAAAAATCAACACATTTAGCACAACATACAAAAAAAAACAGATATGGTAACAAATATGTGGTACATTAACCTAACACAAAAAAAAAGAATATAAAACGAATTTTTTTGTATATACAGTGGAATAAAGAATACAATATACAACTCCCATTACATATATACAAAAACTACAATAAATTTATGAACTACAAACTTATAAAATATGTAACATTGACAAAAAAAACAATAAACATACTAAATACAGAAATACGTGCCAACTATAATAGTGAATACAAAAAACATTACAACTATGAAAAAAAGTAACTATAACAAGATGAAAATTCAAAACACACTTACAAATGTATACGATATTACATTGACAACTAAGACAAAAAAGATGAACAGAATACAAAATATAATACATAAATAGTCAAAAAAAATTATTTATTGCATTGACAACTAATACAAAAAATATGAACAGAATGCAAAATACAATACATAAATAGTCAAAAAAACTTTCCAATACAAAAATACATAGAGACTATAACGGACTAAACAATTCAAATACACTTTCAAATTCATTGTAAAATGTATTTTTTTCAATCTTAAAAATTACTAAACAAAATAAACTAAACATCCAATAAACAACACATGCAAAAAAAAAATTACCTGTTCTCCCAAAAATTGTTCTAATTCAACTTCATGAACTGTGGGATGTTGCACCTCTTCAGCCATTTTTGCACACTCCTTAGACTTAGATGATGAACCTACATTGTTGTTTATTTATTGAGTGAAAAAAACTATGAAACTCGGAATAACTGTGTATTTTTTTTACAATACCTCTAGTCACTCTTTTGAATGCATCCATTGAATATTGAATTTGGTATTACGAAACCCTAAAAAATAATTTAAGAACAACAACAAAAGATCGAAAATTAAAAAAAAATAAGTAAGTAATCAAAAAGTAATATGAATAACATCAAATAACCAACACAATATGAATCTCCAAACAAACTTTCAAACGGAATTACTTGAGAATGAAGTAGAAAAATTCGGATTTGAAAAATTTGAAGCGCGAATCTGGGGATTTGATGATATATGAATATGTTGTGTCCGTAGAATAATTTTAGTTAGATAACCTGCAATCCAAACAAAAATCGTGGAAGATTAAGAGTTGAAAATTAAAAAAAGATATTCTGAAAAAATAATTTTGGAAAAGTTGTTTTAGAGAGAGAAAATATATTATTAATGCATTGGAAGTTGTTTCGGTTCAAATCTTTTATTTGAATTAGAGAGAGAGAAAAATTATTATTATGCATTGGAAGTTGTTGAATATCTATTAAAAATTTTCCCTTTGATATATATGACATAACAAATATAGAAAATCTGGATATATATGACAATCCCAACTAAAAAGATATTCTTAATAATTAGAATAGTTTTTATAGGGAGAGAAAATATTTTATTATTAAAATAAATTTAATATATGGCATTGGAAGTTGTTGTCCATTAAAGGGGGTTGGGAAAACGTGACAACACAAATACAATCCCACCTAAAAAGTTGTTCCGAATAATTAGAAGAGTTTTTATACGTAGATAAAACATTTATTATTAAAAAATGAAAAACGTGTAAAACATACACATTAAAACTCGGAAAATACATTTTTAGGGATATAACGTTAAAGTTGTATATTGAAGTGGGTTGGGAAAACGTGACAACATAAATACACGTTAAAGTTGTCAGTTAAAGTGGGTTGGGAAAACGTGACAAGAAGAGTTTTTATATGGAGATAAAATATTTTATTATTAAAAATTGAAAAACATGTAAAACACAATCCCATTAAAAATTTGAAAGTACATTTAAAGATATATAACATTAAAATAACAACTAAAATCTGGGAATGTGATAAATTTAATATTAATAAATATAATTAGTAAGAGAGAGAAAATTCCTTAAATATATGAATATATATAATTCATGAGAGAGAAAAAAAATTGTTCAAATACAGATAGAGAAAATATTGATAATATAAATAATAATTATACATTTTTAAAAATAATGACATTTTTAACACTTTTAATAATATTATTAAAGTATGTACATTATCACTAAATAAGTTGTTTTTTTTGACTAGTTAACTAATTTTTCCTTAAAAAAAAGGAGTGGGCTGCTGGGAACAAATGGAAAAGGATGAAGTGGGCTGAAAGTAAAAAAAAGGATGGGCCATTGGAACAAAAAGGCAGAGGCCCAAACTCAAATCAAAAGGGAAAAAGAGTCAAATTAATATACGCAAATTGATTTAAAACAAAACGAATTTGGTATAAATTTATTAACGAGCTTATTTATTTAGTAATATAAACTTAAAAGTGATTCAAAAGTATAATTATAATTTAAATTAAACTAGTTTAATAAAATGCTTAAAATTTTAAGATATTTTCTTGAGATGGTCTTGGATAAAATATACTAATTATATACATAACTATGTAAACATATGCATTATCTAAAGTTATGATAAAAGTAACATAAAATCCATATATTATATTATTTAATTTTCGCAAAATTTATAAAATTAATTAATTTAAACAATTTGGAAAACTTAAGAAGCTCGATAATTAATTTACACCGACGTGGGTCAAAATTGGGTGTCAACACCGCTTACCTGCGGTTGACTGGCGATTTGAGTAAAATGACTTTTCAAATAACTTTCAAAATTTTAATTAAGTAAAGAAAAATTTGTTTTTTTATTGTTATTTACTTATTATTATTATTATTATTATTATTATTATTATTATTATCTTTAGTGTAAATATCTAAGGGTATTTTTTTAAAGGGAAATAACTTAAGTGTTGATAATGATTAAAGACCAATATCAAATAAAATATAAGTAATTTTATATAAAATTTTGTGAATATAAAGACAAATGAATATCTTGGGAATTTAATTAAATTAAACCATAGGATAAATAAAGTAAGTCAAAACAATACAACATAAGTAAAAAGGAAGAGACTATAAAGTTTGGGCAAAATTCCAAATCTTCATAACCGTCCTGAGTCTCAAAATGAACCATAATGGACCTTGTCCATTTTGACACCTGCTGCATCTTTCCTTCGGTTTTAGCCTATTTTCGTGTCCAAAAATCAGCGTATACACTGATCACAGTATATGAGTTGTATTTTAGTTCTTTTCCATGTATATTGGACTGTATACTCAATGTATACATCTTAATTCAGCTCTTCAAGCACCTGTATTAATACCCTCAGTAGTTGTATTCAAATGTATACAACAACTAAGTGGGAGTAAGGCAAGGCATAGCAAAAACAGCTCCATTATGAACAAATAATTAACAGATAACAAGATCCCAAATATAAACAATGAAAAAATGCCTAAAATACCCTCAAAATATTGGAAATGGTATTAACTATCCTCCATCCACCTATTGGCTCCAAAATGCCCTTTTCACCTATCGCCAAAATATCATTGTCATTCACTATTGGGTTCAAATTAACCACTAATTTAATGGTTTAAAATTTAAACTATTTAAATATTTTTGAAAATAATTGGCGCTGAATTATTCGATATAGTTTAATTTATTAATATCATTTATAAATGTACCCCCACCCACGCATTACTAATTAAGTCACACCCAATTAATAAATCATTTCTAATATCAAAATCTTCCTAAACACTCCTAAAGCACGACGAAATTACCGATTCCTGAAAAATGACATTCAAAATTATTTGAGTCCAAATTGGAGCCCAAATTAAATTTAGGTTGAGCCTGTTATTTAGGAAAACACTTTCAATAGGATTTTGTTTCAAGCTTGAATTCGAAATTTATGATTAAAGGTAAAGAAGAAGTACCTCTCGAGTTTATTCATGCACTATTTTTATATAAATTTATAAATATTTATTATTTGTTTTAAATATTAAAACATTAATATAATCTTTTAAAAAAAAGATTATCTATCAAGTAACATCACATAATTGAGGCGAATGAATAATTAATATGAACATAGTCAGACTTTTAAGTTTATCAGTAATTTTTATTTAGACACTTGAATTATAATATGTTTTGATTGGGGACTTGAATGTTGATAATGTACTTCTGCAGACATTTTTGCCTCAAATTTTTAGAAACACTCATTGGTAGTAGTTTTCCTGTTGTGCATTATTAATGGGGCGGACTTATTAATTAGGTATGGTTTAATTAGTAATGGATGGGTAGTAGATTTGCTTATAAATTATATTAATAAGTTAAATTATAATAAATAGTTGAGCGCTCGCGTATTAAAAAAGTATTTAAATAGTTTAAATTTAAAATCATTATATAAGTGGTTAATTTTGGACCCAAAGGTGGATGAGAAAGGTATTTTGGAGTCAATAGGTGGATGAGAAAGGTATTTTGGAGCTAATAGGTGGGTGGAGAGTAATTTTGTACCATTTCTGATACTTCAAGGATATTTTAGGCTCTTTTCCGTATAAACAAAATAGAGATAGCATAATGCACACAAGACAAACATCACACTTTATGCAATAAACGATACCTGCTCAACCTTGGAGACCTGATGCTGCCAACTTATCATACTAAAGGGATAAGCTAGCTTACTTGAAGCAAAAAGAAGAAAATAGCTCTAATCAAAGAACTAAACATAATGACATCATTATTCAAATCAAACATGTTAAATGATGACATAAACTACATAAATAATTTCCTGAAAATAGCATGGTGGGGTAGCAATACCAAAACACATGATTAAACCGAAGAAAAGACCATACTAGAGACACTTTCAGATACATACATATATGCCACAATAAAATTTAGGCCTAGCCCATTAGTGGCCCCCTAAACTTGGCAGAAACTTTCAGTTAGACACTTCAATTAAGCTTTATTCATTTTAGACACCTCATGTCGCGTCTCATTGTATCTTTAAACACTTTTCGCTGACTAAGCATGGTATGTGTACTACACGAATTTAAAGCGCGTCAGAGACGTTTATTGTAAATATTTTTACTTTTTTTATAAATATTTTGTCCTCCTTTTTCTTCCTTACTTTCTCCCTTCCATCTTCTTCACCTTTTACCATCCTCATCACCACGCAATGTTTTAGAGAAATATTACAATACTTTACTAGGTTACACTCTTTGATTCTTTCATCTTCTTTGAAAATCGAATTTACATCTTGATTTATAATTAAAATCAAAACCAATTTCAAGGAAACAAAAAATAAAATCAACTTCTTTCAAATGGACAAACTGATTTACATTCTTACCTTCTCCATTGAAATTACGAAATTAAATTTCTTTCAAGAGATAAACAAACTAAAGAACAACCTCCACTGAAAAAAAGAAATTTATTTGATATATCCGTCATTGTAAATATCAATCATAGTAGTACAAGAAATCATTTTCTTTAAAACGTCATATAGTAACTTTTTGATTTGATATGATTTTTCGTATTCCCCAACGTATTTTACTTTGTGAACTAATCTATGCTCTTTGCCTTTTTGAAGGAGAAGAACAAATCAAAAGGGAAAGGAAAGTCAAGAAGAAAGAAGAGAAGAGCTGGGGCATGAGGTTTGGGATCTGGAATAAATAAAAAAGAAAGTAAAACTAATTCATTAAAGAATAAAATAAAATTTCTACGTGTCAGATTTGTTTATTTGTCACATAAGAGGCGTCTGGATGTACACACTTAAAATGTGGTTTTGAAAACATAAAAGTGTCAAAATGATACAATGAGGTTTGACATGAGGTTCTAAAAATGAACAAATCTTACTTAGAGTGTCCATGTGAAAGTTGATGCCATCTTTAAGGGGCCACTGATAAGTTATCCATAAAATTTATAAGGGCAACCCACATTATGGTAAACAAATGATTAGTGGTTCACATAACATTATATAAAAGAAAAAGGCATGCTAGGACAAGAAAAATGAAATAAAATTATTATATACATGGAACAAACTGATTTTCTTTACTTGAAAACAGAAACAACCTAACGACAAACAACTGGACCAAATGAACTTTAAATGATTTTAAACAAAGCAAAACGGAGACATACTTAGCTTCCAAGAAACAAAATTTAGCCAAAGGATCTAACAACAAACAATTGACATTAAAGGAGCTAATGCTTAAGAACACGTTTGCCATAAGAATCAAAGTAAGACGAACATTTGATTCAAAATAACAACAAAGATAAACTTAAACAATAGCTACAATCAAAGAAAAATGAAATAAAGTTATATACCTGGACAAGGTGATTTCTTCACTTGAAAACAGAAACCACCTAACGACACACAGCTGAAAAAATGAATTTCTTTTGGGGATAAGGAAATGGGCCGGGAATTAAGACCAAAAGAGTGGGACGCTGAAAAAAATGCTTTTATAAAAGCCCATAATTTGGTCCTTTGATATTGGTTAGCTAAATGAATTATTAATTTAGCCAAATCTAATTTAATTTTTAAATTCAGTTAAAATCTAAATAAGATGAATTAATATAATCAATTTAGGAGATTCTCAATCTTAAAAAA